TGGTCCAATAGATTCTGCAGTTTTTTACTGAGCCACGCCAATGGTAGCTTACTGTTGTGTAATCTAGTTTGCCTCACTGTATTTCGCTGTGCGTTGATGATGATTGCTCGAAGGTATATTCCCCGTCTTACATGGTAGATGTGCTCGATATAGAAACACGCCCTCGGTACCCGATAACGGATAAAATAGTTATTGTGTGCTTATATTTGGAGGGGCTTGGGGAGGTTATGTATAAGTAAATGTCTGTATTGACTCAAACGGATTATCCTCCAGTGTTCGTTTTGAAGTGCAATCCTCAGTTTATTCATTTAACTATACACTCTGGAATCGCTAGACTCGAGTTTCCCACTCGTTAGAGTTTATTAGGAGTGCATATGCGCTATCCTCCTCCGGTTTTAATCTCCGGACCCGTCGTTTGGAAGGTGTTTGTATGTGCCACCACACATCGGTCTATCCAGAATTACGATTCAGGCTTGTTCAGTGTCGTCCTCAATGATAGTCACTTAGTCAGTTAATCGAACTCGCGTTTAACGTTGTGTAAAATGAAAACTTGAGGCAAATCGTGGTACCGAGAGAGGGTTACTAAATCCTTAAAGTTGGTATGCTTCAGGTATACACCGTGACTTCTGCTGTCATTTGGTTGTATATTTTCTTAGACCCACTTCGTAATTCAACTTTCGAAGTCTTCTGAGTTTAAACCAGAACAAACGTGACGAGCGCATCAATAAGAAGCGCTGTTTAGTTTAACATTTGGAAGTGAAGTTCGGTGATTCGGTTGCTTAATATTCATCTTTGTAGGTAGTAGGCATGTGAATTTCTCCAGCTAAAGTGCAGGCCATATGACTTGGAGAGATTGATACAATGTATGTTTAAATCCCGAATGATCCCGGTTCAGGGAATCGTATTGTCTTTTATTTCGCTTACTGTTCTTTCCTTTTGACTGCGGTGGTCGTATGATTTTTGTATCTGATCGTAAAAAATAGTTATTCGCCATCGCTTCTCAGCATCCCCGTTCCATTTCCGTAAATTCTCTGAATTTTCTAGTTGGACACTGTTCGGGAACGTCTGCAGAAGCTCTTCACATTGGAGGAAATGATCGATCAGCATCGATTGAAAGAATCCACTACACAGGAGATTACCAGTCCCATACGAGTGAGTGTTCCTGTTCCAGTCCACGATGGCGATTTGCTGGATCCCTGTGCACTGTTTATTCTCTCATGTCATGTTTTATTTCTCTATTGCTGAATACCGGCCAGTTTGTTTGTCCTATCCACACCTGGTGTAATCAGGCAGTTACGTGCTACTGCCAACCGACGCAATGTATTATAGTCAGCGTAAATTTAGCTTTGAGAAGCACTACATACTTTTTAGATGTACTGTTTTTAGTAAACAAGTCCATGGGGCTGCTCTATCCACGCAGAACGTGTCTCTAAAAATAATGATGGTCAGTCTGTTAAACGTTTGGCGGAATCGGAGGATCTAACGCAGATTCTATCAGCGGACAACACAAACAGATGTGACGATCTCAAATACAAACGAGTCTGCGAAGAATCAACGACGTGAGTGACTTGTATGCAGTGGATATAAGACTGTGCTCCCACTGGTGACAGGAAATGGATACGACATCCGCTAAGCCCCATTCAAATGGATTGGATTCAGAATTCCAAATGGTTCAGTATGAAGATGTTACTTCTCGATCACTTTACCCTCGTCTTTAAACAGATCTGGAAAGAGCTCATTTGAGTGAATCAATTGGTGATTCGTGATTCTCATCAGTTTGCTTATTGTAAACGTCGCTCTACTTTAGATACGGTTGCTTGTCTTATACATTCTACTTTATCCACTATAGACCAAAAACACAAAATTGTTCATGTTTGTTTCTTGGACTACACAAACGCGTTCAACTCTGTCGACAGAAACATCCTGTTGACACTGTTACGGCAACATAGTCTCCCACCACATCTTTTGAATTGGATGCACGACTATTTTACCGACCGACGCCAATACACTAGTCTCAATGGTATTAGGTCTTTTACTGTTACTGTAAACCAGGGTGTAATGCAGGGTGCAGTCTTATCCCCTTTTCTGTTCTTCTTTTATATCCAAAACTTGCCAGTCACCCCAAAAGTTTTCATTTTTAAATATGCCGATAACAGAGTAGTTGGTGGTGCATCTCACAACAACAACCCTTCAATTAACCCCGTTCCACCAGCCATAAGTTCCATTTCTGAATAGTCCGATGGTGTCAACCTTTCTTTAAACCCCCAACAAATGCATTGAAGTTTTGTTTTCCATTGACCGTAGGCTATCAACTCTTTCTGGATCAACTGTTCCCAATATCTTGATCAATAACTTGAAATTCGAAAGGTCACAACACTTCAAATATCTTGGACGTTTCGTGTCTGTTGACCTCACATGGTCCTATCACGTAGAACAAACATTTCTTAAAGAGACTTCGTACTTCGTAGGCGGTGAAATGTCCGTATACCGTGAGATCCAGCCATTGAAACTAATAGTATCAACCAACTGAATTGTTGTTGAGAATGATCCCAGTCGATCAGCTCGTTGTTCGTTTCATATATGATCTCGTGTGTACCCTTTTTTCCCGGCGGTTTGGATCATTCGGAACTGCTCCCTAGCTTTTCAGTTAACACCTCATTTGCTCTTTGCACGACGAAGTCATCTATGTCACTGCTAATCAGTTTAGATAACAGCATATTCTCTCAGGTTATTTTCTGAGCACTACTAGGGTGCACACCGCCCCGCTGCCTTGCTAGTCAAGTTTTATCTATCCGAAGGCTCTGGTTGTGAAACCCTCAAGAAAATTCACCTGCCTTGGCCTGGGCAACCTGACAGTATTCGGTCTACATGCAAGTCGTGGAACGTTTTTATGTGATTTGTGTGTGGCACACAGTCTGGCCTCAGACAGGTGTGAATTACGATATAATATAAAATATTTTTTCTGAACCCTGATTACAGTGCCACTGACTTCTCTTTCAATGCGCCCAACTCCATCCAGGCCGTAAACCGCATTTTGCGTGCTTCCGCCGCCATCACCTATTTTCCTCATTTCATAACGTTGTATGATAAATTCTCATCAATCAGATCCATACTGTGATATTTTCGCATGAGTAAAACATATATCACTTCACAACAATACCTATTCTCATGCCATGAAATTACTAAAAATACATGGTTTCGTTTAGCTTTTGGGACCTGTAAGCATATTAATCAAAGCTTTTATACTCGTCTGTCTACTTTGTGGAAAACTTTATCATTCGGACACTGGCATCATCTCATGCCCATACACAGGGAAGCAAAAGAGACCAAATGAAATCTTTTCGTGTACCAGCATCAGTTTCTGTCTGTTTACGTAAACTCCTGGGTGTTCATTTTCTAGTGGTTTACGCCGCTGTCACTGGCGATCCCTGGTTCTTGAGGTCCAGGGTTAGGTCCCTGCCAACACCACCAATATTCAACTCTGTCACGACGAGACTGCATCTTGATGTAGTGTCATGGTTTGTGCACCTCTGTAACCTAACGAGCTACACAGGATCGCTTTTGTCAAACCAGGAGATTTTATCATACCTGGAAGACCAATGCGTAGAAGTCAAACGAAGTTCAGTCTCCTGGTCCTCCAGGTTGGGGGTTCGACTGGAATTTGCGTTTCAGTCGGTAAAAATGGTGGAGGAATAGTCGATCCAAATAAATCGCCCCGCACCCCTCTTCGCTCCACCCACTACCTTGTGGTTAGGTTCTTGTTAGAACTAAAGGCTTTGGACGAGAACCATAATCGTCCTCTTCTTAGTGGCTGGACGTCAACAGTCGTTTATGTGCAGTGCGTCTCCAGGGTTCAGTAAGCGTCCGGAAGGGAAGCAACACCAAAATGTGTTTATTCATCGTATCAGCATATGCACCGACCAACTGCAGTTCTGACACACGCACAAGGACGAGTTTTATGATAAGCTCAATGAACTCATTCGGTTGAGCTGAAGCTCCGACATAGTTGTACTTGCAGGTGAATTCAAAGCGCAGTTCGGAAAACTGGGCGCATCAGAAGCTTGCCGAGGTGGTAGTTGTGCTCTGCCAAACCAACGAACAGATAACGGCGATCGACTTCTTCAGTTCTACGCAGACCAATGTCTGTTACTATCCGGTACAAACTTCCGACACAGATCTCGACGGACAGCAACAAGGTGCTACAGTTCAACTGGTACGGCCTGGCCGTGGATGTATTGATCAAATTTTTACGTTGCGCAAGATCCTTGAGCTGTGTCACTCACCGTCGGCTAATGATCACAGTGTTCCTTGAACTGAAAGGAGCCTTCAACTCAGTTGACCGCGAAGCTCTAATGGGGTCCCTTCTTCTGAAAGGAATGCCTCAGAAGTACGTTAACCAACTGAGATCACTGTACTCACAAACCTCCGGTCGTGTAAGGGTTTACAACAACCTGGGTAGGCCGTTTGTCACCAGCAGCGGCGTTCGTCAAGGATGCCCCCTTTCGCCGTTCCTGTTCAATTTCGTCGTAGACAAAATACTGGAGAACGCACTAAGTGGACTCCAAAACGTTGGTATTGAATGGGCAGGTTGAGAAAAGCTGTGCGATTTACAGTACACCGATGACATCGTCTGTCTATTCGAATGTATGGGGGACGCGCAAAGCGCACGTGATAGATTAACAAGTGCAGTAGTCACATTCGGTATGTGCTTTGCACCTTCAAATTGCAAAGTAATGCAGCAGGACTGGGGTTTCGTCTACTCCCGCTCTGAAACTGAATGGTCAGGATTTACTTGTGGT